AGGCCTAATAAGAAACATTTACTGCTGACTGCTTGATCATGGTCTTCTAGCCTCAAGAATTTGAAGACCTCAAGAATTTTGAGGACACCATGAGCAGGCCTGATAGCAGGGCTGGGGTGGGATGGGGGGGTAGGGGACTGGAATCCCAACATTTCCAGGACTGAGACAGACAGGTTTTAAGGCCTGCTTAGGAAGTCCTGACAGGGCTGGGTAGAGCACTTGCCCAGTATACACAAGTTATGGATTCCCTCCTGGGCAGAAGCAACAACAGGGGGGAGTCCTGTTGTGGGAGCCACGTAATCCGGGGTGTTTGGCTCTAGAAAACTCGAACAGCAGAAGGGAGATACACTATGCAGGTGCTTGTAAACTGCCGTACTCTAGCAGGTTCAAAAAACCCAATTGAGCCTAAGACTGTAGCTCATGATTTTGTTGTTTCATTTGTTTTTTATTCATGATCTTGCTATTGTGTAGCACAGGCTGTGTAGCACAGGCTGACCCCTCTCAAACTGACCCCTCTGCCTTGTCTTCTAAGGGGCTGGCATCAGAGGCATGGGCTGGCAGGGCATAACCCATGATTCCTATAGCTACACACTTCCTTGTAGCACACCTTTGCAACCTATAAACAGGGAACTCATTAACAGATAACAGTGATGTATCCTCTCACTGTTCCTTTATATAAACAGTCACACTCTGTTATTATACCTGATCTAGAAATAGTCCACATAGTGAAATGAGTATCCATTAATTAAATTTATATTTTCTTACTATTTTCTATCAGTTTTTCACATTCTTTTCTCTGCGATGGATGTGATTTGTGACTAGATGTTTAAGTTCTTGCCTTGCCCTTGGTGACGGTGTAAGAGAAATCAACCCGTTCTTCCCCTAAGTTGCTTTTTGTTTTGTTTTGTTTTGTTATGTCACAGCAACAGAAATGAAACTAGAACAGCCTGGTGAGCTTTCTTTCCAGGGATCTTGTGATCAGGGACTGTGATTTGGAAAGCTTGGGCGAGCTAACAGATGCGTGGAGAGAGTGGGCATAAAGGAAGACAGATCAAAGAATGCAAGGCAGTTAAGACAGGGCGAAGTAGCTGCTTACTTGTCTAACGGGTTGGTGTGGGGTGCTTCAACTGTAAGATCTGGAGTGTTTTGTAAAATTGGGGACAAAGCGTTTAAAAAAAAGTTAAAAACTCTTAGCCAGGAGGTTTGGCACATTCCTTTAATCCCAGCACTTGGGAGGCAGAGGCAGGAGATTCTGAGTTCAAGGCCAGGATAGAGAACAGAGAAACGCTGTCTCAAAATACAGACAAAAAACAAAACAAAACAAAACTCTTAAAAACCCCTCTCTTCTTTCTTTCCTCTCTGTTCCTTTGGACACGGAGCCATGAGCAAGCCTAGGAAGGACCAGTCCCAGGGAGTGGCTTCAGCAGGAGATATGACTAGACAGTGGCTAAGAAGAGGTTTTTCCTGGCAGCCAATACAGTCAAAGGCTTGGAAGAGAGCTTCGATGGAAGTATGGTCCAGTAAAGCATTGTGACCAGTTCAATGAGTGGGGACATAGGAACGAGCTCATTGTTTATGAGACCAGGAACTGCGGTCTGTGTGAGGCCATCAGCAGTAAGCAATAGATTACCTATGGGTTTTACCTGAGTCACTGGAGAAGCAGCGAATCTCTGCTTGAGGTGACTTCTTTAGTCTTCACTGCTTTGAGGAGGGCAGGGATGGGTCACATTCTACATTGCTCCGCAGGAGAGCACTCGGGAAGCTCTGAGATGCTCCACAGCAGTGGCAGCCAGCTTGTGCAGAGCCTTCAGTTACTTTACACAGCACCAATTTGACCTAAGTTATTCCATTGTGATCATCAATGCCAAGGTAGAATGACTACATCTTGTTTATCCAAGTTCCCAGATGCCATCTGCCAGCACACCCTGAGCCTCGATCTGATAAATAATTTATCTGTGCTGATAAATAATTACACACAAGAATATGTCGATTCATATCAGAAGCCTCAGACAGACAAGCTTCTCAATCACACCAGATGTATTCCTCACCATAAAAGGAGCACTCCAAGGCTGAGATGTAGCAAGCACACTGACATTACCTGGTCGCTTGTGAGCTTCATCTAGGAAAGCTGTCACAGCAAAGGAACTCTGTTTACCCCTGGACTCTAGTTAGAGCATGGTTTCTCCTGCATGACCTACCCAAGCTGCGGCCACCAGCTCTGCGTGCATTGACACCCCTGTGCCCTGGTTTGCAAAGCTTAAATGATTCTCTACCAGCTCTCTGCCTGCTCCTTCAACACGGCCTCTCTGATGCCTTAGCCACGCACAAATGTGTGATCTTGTAACAAACTAGCAAATGCTAGGTTTAAAATGAACATTATGGTTAGAACGGCAAAGCTGGGAATGCTAAGGAAGGTAAGTATCAGGGCTTGCAGCTGTCTATGAGCTAGTCAAGCTGACCCGAAAAGAGGAAGGACAGGGTTCTGAGAACACCAAAGTTAGTTTTGGTCTTGGTAGGCTCCGAGCCATCAAGGAACACCCTACCCCCAACTCCCGGGGCCCAAGAAGTCTGCAAGGCACTACTACCCTTTTCTCTAGTATTTCTCAACTTTTTGGCAAGTTACTCATTTAAACACATTCTTGCATTTAATGCATGTAGTTATAACAGACTGAATTATGGGTAAGGGCAGCTTCTAAGAAAGCCATTGCTTCTTCCAGGAAGGAAAGCACTGTAGAGTTGACCAGTGGTCACAAGTCTCCATGTCAGGCATCCTGTTGCTATTGCACTCTCTTACAGCCCCCTGCCCCTTCCCTCTGGAGGGTGCACTTGCTTTCTCGATTGCTGAAGTAAGCCTTGGTTACTGAAAAGTTTCTGCACCCATAAAGCCTCTCTGTTGACGCAGTAATCCAAATCAAACCAAATTAGGAAAAGTCTTTTAAAATAGTCTGGAAGCTCACCCTTCTCCACTGTGTCCTGGAGCTGGACTCGGTAAACTGCATTTTTGGAAGGTTTTGCTAATAGGGGTTGCTGGAAGAAATCGAAGGCTGGAGGATGGAGGAGGAAAGTGATCTGTTCTATTTGCTTGCTCTTCCTCATGGGGAAGAGAGAAAAAGGATGTTTCTCCTAGACATTGACAGTTCAAAACAACTTAAGACTACTTGAGGTAAACCTAGGAAGAGCAAGTCCACTTGTTCAGTGAGGATGGAGGAAATAGTTTATTCTCAGGAAAACAAGTGACAGGCTTAGTTTCAAACATCACATTGTGACATCCCATAATGCATTGTGAGGCTTTGTGGTGCATTTACTTTTACAATGGTTTTACCAAAGGACTTTTAAAATGCTACTTTGTCGCCTAGTAAAGGGACAAGTTGATTAGGGACAGATTGAGGAAAGAAATTGTCTTGCTGTTTATCTAGTTGGAACAAAATGCAAACTCAGTATTTTGTAGCAGATACTTGCCATACTTTTGTTTCCATGACAAAACCATGAACCTCAAATTAGAAGAGGCTCATGACACACTATGCCTGGTAACAGGAGCTGGAAAGGTGGCTGCTCCTTCAGAGGATCTCAGTTCAATTCCTTCCACCCACATGGCCAGCTAGAGCTCCAATTTGAGAGCATGGATGCCCTCTTCTGGCCTCAGAGGACACTGCATGCATATAGTGCATATACATACCTGTAGGCAAAACATCCATACATATAAAATAATAATAGAACTCAACTTTTAAAATTAAAGCAAGGGATTGTAAGACTGTCACTGGAGGGGAAATCTCTTAGGGCAAGGGTCAAGATTGACCTTCCTTAAGATTAAGGATAGTATCATTAGCACCTCGGCCATTGTTTCTGCAGGTAGTCAGGGTTGATGTAGTTTTCCCCCACTAAGGCTCCAGGGAGGGGGTGGTGCAGGGAGCAGGGGCAGAGAAAACAAAGCAATCCTCCAAGAACCAGGCCCCAGCATAGAAGAGGAAAGGCCCAGGCTTAGCAGAAAGGACACCTGGGGCTGGAGTTGACACAGACTGGTGTGCTATTGTCTCACTCAGTGGCCACTGTTGTCTTCTGTTCAACTTGTATGGCATTGTAGAAGGCACTCCTCAGGATATGTGGCCTCTTCAGATCTACAGCCCAAAAAGGGTGACCAGGGCAGATTGATGCTTCTAAGGCAACCCAGTCTTGGTCTCCATACTCCATGGATAATGACTACTCATCCTTGAGGGACACCAGACTTGCACACCTGATTCCAGGGCCCACCTATGGTCTACCTGCTTGCAAATGGTTTCTGTAACCTGCATAGTTGTATATTATTTATTGTATAGAGTATAATTGTGAAGTGGGAGCTAATAGTCCCAATTAAAGTGCGGAAAAAGAAGAGGCAGCTTTCAAGTAAAATCAGGATTACTTGGCAAGTTGCAGTCAAAAAACTGACCTTGCTTTTGAATTTATTGGTTATTCAATAAATTCTGTCATAATGGTGACACAAGCATGTCTATGTTTCTGATGCAAAATGTACTTCAAGGTTTATCTAGAAAACGATAAGGCATGGGCATCTCTAAACTTTATGCCCTATAAACAAACGCGTTGGCATTTGAGCTTTTTGTTTATTTTTTAAATCAGACATGAAAACAGTTGGCACATTTACTGCCTCGGAGGAAGAAGACATAAAAAGTTCTTAAAAGATCCCCTTCAGGAACCTGGTCCTACTTGGCCCAGAGAACCAAGAAATTCTAGGAAGCAAGAGGAAGTTTGGATCCTAGTTATCTTTCGGGACCACTGTAGCGCCCAGAGGGCGCCCTCACCTCGAGCCGGGACCGCAGGTGGGAGAAGCAGGACAGGGGCGTGGTCTTAAGGGTGGGCGTGGGGGCGTGGGCTCGAGGGCGGGTCGTAGGGCGTGGCGCCGGCCTCGAGGTCCGAAGCGCTGTCGGCTGAGCGCGCCAAGATCCGCGTTGCGAGCGGATACAGCGGAGTTTCCTGAGTCAGGCAGGCACAGGCTCCAGGTAACCTAGGTCGGGCCAGTGGCCGTGCAGCCCAGCAAATCTCGACAGCACTAAGCCGGATCTACGCGGGCGGGACGGGCTCCGCTGGGGAGGGAGTGGAGTTGATACAGGGTGAGAGGGCGCTCGGTTCTGGTACCCCGGGCTAGGATGGAGCAGGAGCAGGAGTCCTCTTCCCACCCTCTTTCCGGTCCATCGTTGGGACGCCGCTACACTGGCATCTGGAAGTCACTTTCCGACCTCCTTTTCCCGGAACCGTGTAATGAGTGGGGGCTTAGAAATCGGGTTGACTGCAGGCGTGGAAGGTAAGAGGCGAGCGGTTACAGCGGTGTCTTAGGCGCCAAGGACTTAAACTTCAGCCCAGTGAAGAGGCGTTGCAACCCCTGTTAGAGCACGGGCCGAGGAGCTGGCGCTGGGGCTGAGAATGCTGCCGGCTTGTCTGGGGTCCAAGCAGTCGCCGCTCTTCCTCTTGCCTTGGTCTTCGGGCTGCGGGTCTGTTATGAAAACAGGTAATACTTCCCTAGGTTCTTTGTTTTTGTGTTTGGAGGTTATTAGGTTCTCTTTCTTTCTTCCTTTCCTCCTTCCTTCCTTTTTTCTTTTTCTTTTTTTCTTTCTTTTTGTTAATTTTCGAGGCAGGGTTTCTCTGTATTGTTTTGGAGGCTGTCCTGGAACTCGCTCTGTAGACCAGGCTGGCCTCGAACTCACAGAGATCCGCCTGCCTCTGCCTCCCGAGTGCTGGGATTAAAGGCGTGCACCACCAACACCCGGCTTCTTTTCTTTATTTTTTTGGTGACTTCGAACTCCAAGAGAGTTGCCTGCCTCTGCCTCCCAAGGTTAAAGACGTGCTTCACCACGCCTGAAGCTTAAGAAGCTCATCTCATGTTCTCAGCTGCTCTCAGTCTCAGTTCTTTTAATGCTGAAGAAAAGTGCCTTCGTCCCTTCCCCCTCCCCCAGCCCCCACCGCGTGGCCGTTAAGCCTCTTCCCTAGCTCCACCGTGGAGGAGTCGCCTATAGATCCGAGTTTGGCTCTACAAAAACTGTGTCAGAGTGATGTGCACCCCTTACCTCTTTTCGCCCCCCCCCGAAGAGAGTTGTTTTGTTGCAAATAATGGAGCCAGAGGCAAATTAGGAGGAGATACGGTGTTCAGACCGGTGTTCAGACCGAGCACTGGTGCGTTGACTTGAGAAGGCGGGTGGGTGGGGGTGTGACCTGAATTTGGTGAGTAGTGGGAGAGCAATTTGCTCTGGCCTGCTGCCCCCATTTAGAACTGTCCTGGAAGGCAGATTGTCTTCTAGAAGGGAAGAGGAGGGGTACATGGTTTTTTAAAGACCAGTGTAAATTACAGTGGCTCCGCTGTAGGAGCACTGGGAGCAGGTTTCTGTTCTGGAAGGGTAGGAAGCTACAGGTATCTGCTTTTTCTTTCCTCCCTCCCTCTCTCCCGCCCTCCCTCCCTTCTTTCCTTTTTCAGGCTTTAATGATGGTATTTAGGGAAAACTTTGCTTTCTTAGAAACGGCCAATTAGGAAACTAGGCGGTGGTTAACAGTACTGTTGGAAACTGTCTTTTCTGAAGGCCAGATGCTGTTTTCTGCTGGTTTGTTAGGACAGGGTCTTACTGTGTATAGCTCAGTCTGGCCTCTGACTCTGGATCAGCCTCCCGAGTGCTGGGACTTCCAACATGTGCAGTATGCCCTGCTCAAATGTTGCTAGCTATGAAGTGTGTAGTATTTCAACTGCACTGAGTAATGTAGTTGTTTATGGGGACAGCTAAGGGTCCCCAACGCTCTTTTTTAATATTAGCATTTCTTAATGAGGAATGTGCTTACAGTTCTAGGTTAGGATATACCACAATTTTGCTGAAAAGGGTGTCCCCAAGTGACTGTTGTAAATGAGGTGTGGTATGTTCTTGTGGACACTGTATTCATAGTTTTGACACTGTATGTGTAGTTTGATGCTGTCAAGTTTCCTTCAGAAATAAATACTGTATGTGTGTATAGCAGACATCTTTGCCCAGATAGATTTCATTTTATGATAGGGTCTGTGCAACCTGCAACTCACTATGACACAGAGAGTGACCTTGGACTTCTAATGGTTGGGAACCTACTTCCCAGGAGCGGGAATTATAGGAGAGCTACACCAGACACCCTACTGTGGTGCTGTGGACCAAACCTGAGCTTTGTTCCTGGAAGGCAAGTACTCTTTCCATCTGAGCTGTAGCCCTAGCCCTTGGCCAGATGTTTTCTGTGGCAGTAGATCTTATATACTTTAAAGGACCTTTACCTGCATTGCTGTGCCCACTGGTGATAGACGGGCCTCCCATACTCCAGTGACAATAATCTTTTATAGCTTCAGACATTGCCAAGGATTTCTTGGAGGAAGCAGAGTCCCCCCAATTGAGATATAAAGTAGGCCTACATCTGAAATGTTCAAAGTGTCAATGAACTATTATTGGCTAAGTGTCAAGAGAACTATCAGTAAACCAAAATGCCTTGAATTAAGACATGTTTATTACAAAGATGAAAGAGTTAGTATTCCCTGTGAATGGCTTGTGTGCTCTGCCAAATTTTATCGTCACAGAAATTTCAGGTATTAATGCCATTGTAAAACTTGTCATTAGAAACTTAAAGCTAAGAGGCAGGCGGATCTCTGTGAGTTTGAGACCAGCCTGGTCTACAAGAGCTAGTTCCAGGACAGCCTCCAAAGTTACAGAGAAACCTTGTCTTGAAAACAAACAAACAAACAAACAAAAAAACCAGAAACTTAAAGCTAGAGAAGGAATACTAGGGGGTATAGAGATGATGGCTCAGTTGTTAAGAGCACTTGATGCTGTTACAGAGAACCAGGATTTACTTTCCAGAACCTAAGTTGGACCACTCATAATTGACTGTAACGCCAGCTCCAGGGGTCTGACACCCTCTTCGGGCTGCTTTGGTTTTCTACATAAGGGAGTACATACACATTAAAAAAATAAATACATCTTTTAAAAAGTAATATTAAACTATTTTGATTCTTTTCTTCTTAGTATAGTTGGTTTCTTTCAGCTTCTTTAAGTTAATGAAGTGTGAATTGACCCATGTATATTGATAAGGAAAAGTTGGATGATCTGTAGTGTCAGCCCAAGGAAAACTAAACAGGAATTTTCCATGCATGCCTTTAACCCTAGCACTCTAGAGGCTGGAATAGGAGGATTAATGGTTCAAGGCTGCCCTCGACTACATAGAGCCCCTCCCTCAACAAACAAGCAATAATAACAAACAGCAAAGCCTAAGCAAAAGTTGTAATGCTGAAATTCAATGTGAATAAAGCCAGGGCTATGATCCTGTAGGTAGAGACACCTGCTGCCATCCTGACTGCCTGAGTTCAGTCCTGGGGTCCCCTATGGTAAAAGAGAATCCGTCTTTAGCTTACAGCGTTCTGCTGTGCACTTCTGTAGTCTAAGAAACCATAAGTTAATAAAAAGGAGTGCCACAAAGCACATGCAGTAACATGACCCCTTTATCAGGCCTCACCTAAGTTCAGGGAGGTGAAAACACAGCCTGGCTATGCAAGGTGCACTTTTAACCATGAGGTGGTTGTAGTTGGCCCCTTCAGAAATCAAAGTAATTTGGGGGGGGGGTTTCGAGGCAGGGTTTCTCTGTATTGTTTTGGAGGCTGTCCTGGAACTCACTCCATAGACCAGGTTGGCCTCGAACTCACAGAGATCCACCTGCCTCTGCCTCCCGAGTGTTGTTGGGATTAAAGAAGTGCGCCACCAACGCCCGGCAGCAATCCTAATCTTTTTTTTGTTTTTGTTTTTTGTTTTTTTGTTTTTGTGAGACAGGGTTTCTCTGTATTGTTTTGGATGCTTGTTGGTCCAGCCCAGCCTTGAACTCACAGAGATCCGCCTGCCTCTGCCTCCCGAATGCTGGGACTAAAGGCGTGCGCCACCACCGCCCGGCAGCAATCCTAATCTTAAATGGTACTTCAGAAAGGCACAGGGGGTTGGTTGTGTGTTAGCAAGGGCCTGTTGAATAGTTTTGAGGGAGGCTTAGAAGGTCTCCTTCAATATAAGTTGTATTTGATACCCAAAAGGTGACTAGGAAGCAACCGGGTAAGTTAGGGGATGGTTTTTTAGGAGAAAAGTATTGAACCCAAGAACAAAGTGTGGGCCATTTGTGTAGGATTTTGGATTGCGGTAGTGGGTACCCACTCATGGGTTTGAAATGAGCAATGAGCTGTGCAGAGAACCATGTGAGAAGGGGGTCCTGCTGGTACTTCAGTGCTGGTCCCCAGTGTGAGAAGACGGCTTTTTACCCTGGCAAGGGTAGCGCCAAAGGGTTCAGTTCCTCGGCCAGTCAAGTGGCACAGCCTGTGCAATCATGTGCAGCCACCCAGGAGGGGACGGTGGGTATCAGCAAACAGTGACACCCCACTCCGCTACAGCCACCCAGGGATGGTGTGGAGGATAAAATTTGGTAGCTGAGATTTAGTTTGTAGTTCAAATCAGAAGGATGGTAGTGGTTAGCTATCGTTGACCGGGAGGTAGCAGGAATGACTCAGAAGTTTCTGGCATGTTCTATTGAGTGGGATGGGATAGGAAAAGCAGTGTTGGAGAACACTGGGGTGGGGTGGGAGTTGGGGGGCAGGATGAGGTTGGCACCAGATCGGGGAGGGAAGGTGATTCCCTTTTGGAGATGTGTTGCTTGTGAGAGAGACAGCCAAAGGGAGTTGAGGAGGGGTCTGGGATGGAAATGCCTGCAAACCTTGGCATGTAAATACTCGCTGCATAGAAAACCCTCAAAAGTAAAGGGTGGGCCGGAGAGAGAAAGGGTCTGTCCACGCAGCTAGATAAGAGGCAATGAAGTATGGGGGAAATGAGGGTGGGCCCAAATTCCAGAGATCATGAGGACAGCAGGGTAGGGTTGGTCTGTGGTAGGAGGCAGAGGATTCGTGAAGATGCTTTTTCTTTGGGACTCAGAACCTTATTTCACTACTCTGGAGAGGAAGGAACAAGACCATTAGCTGAATTTGTTTCTGAAGTAGAATGTCTCTTTAACTAGTGGGGGTTTTTTTAAGCTTTTTTTTTTTTAATATGTTTAATTTTGCTGTCCTAGGGAGGATCGACCCACATGAAAGAAAACACACTTCTAGAACCACAGTTCAGCCTGTTGGAGTATTTTCTAGTGCCAAGCTTCATGACTGCATTCCATGAAAACTATTGAGTTCATTTTTCCTGGGAAGATGCGAACAGAAAGTCTATTCATCACAGATAGGGCAATGCCGATAGACTGAAGGGTTCTGCCGGAAGTCCATCTTGGTGAGCCAGTGGGAATTGGGGGATCTAACAAGGAATGTGGGTGAGCTGGAGAGTGGCCTCACTCCTTCCTGGACACTGGGTGGAGCCAATTGGAGCCATTCTGGATGGCTCACAGGGTTTTGTTTACAGTGTAAACATCTTAACTTCCCCTGTGATCCTGGTGACCTGGGGTTTTACTCCGTCTTTTGTAGTCCTATCCAATGCTTAGGAACCA